TTTTTTTCTATCAAATAGTAATAAAAATTAAACTGGATTCTAATTACCCAAACAATTTTGAATCAATCTCATGTAATTTATTTCAATCTCATGTAATTTATTTCAATCTCATGTAATTTATTTCAAACAATTGATTTAGTTATTGAAATTGATTCAGATCCAGACGTAAATTACTTTAATAATTCAGAAGCATTTTTTTTTTTTTAATTTTAATTTTTACAAAACCGTGTTATAAAAACCGTAATAAAATTTTTTGTTTTTTTGTATTTTTAAATACTAAATAAAAAATAAAATAAATCTGAAAATTTATACATACTAGTAATATAAAATATAAAGCAATATACAATACGAACTCAAATAATAAATATTATACATCTATTCATAGCTATCAGTTTCAGTACAATCTCAATGTAACTATATACTTAAACTATATACTTAAACTAGTAGTAGGTAAACTTAGTTTTAATAATAGGTAGACAAACGCATAACACTAGTAATATAGAAAAACGTTCTGCATAGAAAGAATCAGATTTTTAAGCTTAGTTTTGAAAATAGAAAAAGAGGAAGGTAGATCAAAATTTTGCAAAATAACTTTATTCCAAAGATTAGGTGCACAATAATCAATACAAAGCTAATTAAACTTGGTTTGACATAAACCTTGATTTAGCAAATTATTATATTTAAATTATATTTTTAAAAACGTCAGGAGATAAGTTATTTTTCCATTTATATACAAAACATAGAGTATTATATAAGTTCACTTTATAAATATTAAGATGAAGGAATGATGGAGTTGGGTCAAGCTTTTTTTTATTTAGATAATCTCTAGATTTATATAAAATTCCAATATTTTTAGAAATCTTGGTACATACGTGATCAATATGCTGTTTCCATTTAATGTGCTTATCAAGATAGACTCCTAAAAACTTTATGACAGAGTCCCTCTTAATCTCAATATGGTTAATAAATATTTTAGGCAGATTTATGGGTAGGTAACGTTTTTTTTGAAGCGGGTGGAAAATAATCCATTTTGCTTTATTAGTATTAAGAGTTAATTTGTTACACTTGAACCAGCTAAATATTTTTTTGAGTTCGTCATTCATATTACAAAACAGTTTGGAGATATCAGTATCAGGAAAGAATAGGTTAGTATCATCAGCGAACATAATGCTAAGTAGATTTGAAGCTTTATTTAAGTCACTAATGTAAATCAAGAACAAGAGGGGTCCCAATATAGAGCCTTGAGGAACACCGCAAGATATATCTAATAAATTTTTTTGGCAATCATCCTTACAAGAAGCAATTTTTTTACGGTTTGATAGGTAGCTTTCAAACCACCTTAAAGTTTTTTTGTTTATAACATAATATTTAAGCTTATGCATTAAGATTGTGTGATCTACTGTATCAAAAGCCTTAGATAGGTCAATAAAGATACCTAGTGTGTTTTGGGAATTTTCAAAGGATTTTGAAATTTCGCACACAAATTGAATGATTGCATGTTCCGTGGAATTGTGCTTTTTAAAGCCAAATTGATTGCTATATAGTAGGTTATTGCATTGAAAATAATCATAGACTCTATTATACATAATTCTTTCTGATATTTTTGAAAATATAGGTAAGATAGAAATGGGTCGGTAGTTGCTAATAATAGCCCTATAGCCTTCTTTAAAAATTAGGGTAATTTTTGCAATTTTTAGTTGTTCAGGAAAAATTCCTTGATTAATTGACGCGCTAAAAACTTTAAAGAGAATATCTTTTAATTGTTCAAAACAGTTTAGAATTATATTACCACTAATGTCATCTGCTCCAGTAGCTTTATTTTTTTTCAGAGTTTTAAATGCTATTTCAAGTTCTTCAAATGATAATTTAGAAGACAACTCCCCAGATGTAATGCATTTATTCATCGGTACTAGAAAATCACTAAATATAGCCTGCGTCTTTGGAATCTTATTGGCCAGTTCAGGACCAATTTTAACAAAAAAATTATTAAACTCGCAAGCTATTTCTTTTTGTTCATAGATGATTCTGTTATCAACCTTGATGACCTGGGGAAGGAAGCCTGAGCAGTCTCTTTGTTGTCCACTTATTTCTTTTATTATTTCCCATGTACGTTCGGAGTTACTTTTATACTTATCGATTAAGCTAGAGTAGTAATTTTTTTTCAAATTTATTCGAGTTCTTTCAAACTGATATTTAAAATCTTTCTATATTTTTTCATTTTCTGGGGACTTTGTTTTTAAATACTTTATATACAGTTTCTGCTTGCTCTTCGATGATTTTTTAAAATCTTTGGTAATCCAGGGATTAAATGTTTTTTTTGGATTTATTGTCTTTTCTATGAATGGAAAATTTGCATACTAGATAGGATATAATGTGTTGAAAAAATTATCATATATAGAGTTTAAGTCATCGTTCAAGTTTATATGTTTCCAATGAAGCAATGATAATTTCCCTTTAAACTGATTAATATTGTCCTTGTTAATATGACGCAGTCTAATTTTTTTGCTTGTCTTAATCATAATTTCGGAATTACAGCTAAATGTTAAGAATATAGAAAAGTGGTCGGAAATATCAGTTTTTAAATTACCTTTTTGTATGTTTTTATTAAGGATATCGGTTGTAATAATATTATCGATAAGAGTAATTGTGTTTATTGATACATTGCAAAAAAAATCAAGCATTGTAAAGCAAATGCTTGTATTTTTATATCAAAGAAATTAAAGAATTTTTAAGACGGGATCATTTTAATGTTTTTCATCTTAATATTAGAAGCTTAAAAAAAACTTTGACAACTTATGTAACATTGGGGCTTCATGATAAGATCGTGTGATCTTCTGAAAGTCCTACCAGTAATATATTCAATGTAAATTTATCTTGCACATATTATGGAAATAAAGAAAGAAAGAAATATATATATTCAAGGCCGGCGCGATGGGGGTGGGGGAGTGTGGGGGCAAATTTGATCCTTTTTGTCTAGTTAGTTGGCAAATATAGACCCTTCCGACAGATTAGTCGGTAAATTTAGACAGTCATTCGACAAATGTCGTTCTGGCAGCCGGATGGCAGTTGGCGAATTTTAAAAAACGAGGACCTATTTTTTTTTTAGTCGGCAAAAGTTGTAATGGCACCCTCCCCCACGTGACACCCTACGCGCCGGCCCTGTATATATATATATATATATATATATATATATATATATATATATATATATATATATATATATATATATATATATTCATATATATATATATATATATATATATATGAATATATATATATATATATATATATATATATATATATATATATATATATATATATATATATATATATATATATATATATGTATATATATATATATATATATATATATATATATATATGTATATATATATATATATATATATATATATATATATATATATATATATAACTTTTCATTTAACTAATTCATGCGTGTAAAACGTTGTATAAGATTATGAGATGGTTGTTTCTAGTTTTATCACAATAAAAATCCTCAGTATTAATTTGTAAATTTTTTTAAACTTCGAAAGGGTAACCGTTTGCAAAACTTTATATTATTTTTTTATGTCATATTAAGAAAATGGAATTAAGGAAAACGGGTACTCACTTAGTTTGAGCTTAAAGTTTTTTTGATGGAAATTTTTTTTATTATGGCAACAACCATAAGAACCCCGCGTCGGTGCATCATCTAAACAATATTCCCTAACGGCAAAAAAATGTTAACTAGTTTAGAGGACCATACTAGTGGTGAAAAACTAACGGAGTAATTAACAAACAGCAATATAACAGTAGCATTAAAAAATCATTTATATCCGTTTGTTTGGTAACTAGCCCGTTAAATATTTTTTTTACTAAATTCACTAAAATATTTCATGAATTTAACAAAAAGATTCAAATACGTAGAATACGGCAAAGCAATCTAGTTATTCATTAAAAAAAAATTTGTATCAAAGTTCAAATAAAGCAAATGATAGACCCTTCCGATCTACAATAAAAATAATACTATTAAAAAAATGTCACCATCAACATAGTTGAGGCGAATCAGTAAAACTTAAATCGAAAATGTTTATAAAAACTTTTACAATTTATAAATTGGGTTTCAGATGAAATTAAAGAAAATTTTTTTGTATTTTTGTTTAACTTCAGCGTTGTGTTTAAAATATTTAAAAAATTTTTTTTTTTTTGTTTATACAGAATTTAAGGCATTTTAAACTTCATTAGGACTTTACTCAGTCGGTTTGCTACAAATGGTTTCAAAGAAAATTAACAACGCCCTTAATTTAAAGAAAATTAACAACGCCCTTAATTTAGGCACGATTATAGATCAAAAGAGCTAGAACTTTTATAAAGTGTTTAATGCTATGAATTTCCTAAAAAAACATGTTTTCTATACTCTAAGAGGTTGGTTATTTTAGTTCAGATCTAATAAACGGGGAGATTTTAATAAGAGGGGGAAGGGGTGGGAATTTTTTTTTTATTTATAATAAAATATCAAAATTTCCGATCTGACGATTCTTGGGGAGTGCAATGGAGTGATTGTTCCCCCTCCTCCTAAAATATTTTTTTAAATAATGTTTTTTTTAAATTTATATATTTAATAAAGTATGTTGTTTGAAAATGAAAGTATATTTGGGAGGCTGTTTAAAAGTGATAAAAAATAAACTATAATTAACTGTTTTGAAATTGGTATTATTGTAATTAATTTTGTTTTTTGTTTTAATTATTTATTTAGTTATGCTTTCGAAAATTACCCAAAATAACCTGGTGACAGCCTGCAGAAAATAAGCAAACTTAATAAATTCCATAATGTACAATAAATTTTAAAAATCAATGTTATATGGATACAGATACGCATATTACACATCTACAAAACTTTCATGGCAAAACGTTTTTAATCATGGATGAATATAATTGACAGTAAAGTGATAATCATTCGCATTTACTATGATAGGTTAATAAAAAAAAGTAATGAAACATTTAATAAGTAGTAGAACAAATAAACGAAGTAAAACAAATAACAAAGGCATTAGCACTATAAATAAAGTTGCGCAGTAATATAATGAAATGTGTATAAAACGCGAATGCATCTTTAGATGACTTGAACATATACTTTATGCTTTCTGACGTCACACAGTATTTGTGACACAATTAAAAAAACATCTGAATAAAATAACTTAGTTTAAGCTTTTATGATTTTAACTTTTTTCTTGAAAAACTAGCTGCTTTCATCATCTGTATCAGCACATAAAAGTTGAATTTCTTTATTTTTCACATATTCTGTATTATCAGAGTCATCAAAAAACTTAGATTTTTTTTTAACAGGAGAATGTGGTGTTTTTGAATGTACTTCTTTAGTTACACTGTCGTTTATTGAAGTCTTCAAATTTATAAAACTAGAAGAAAGCGAGCTTGTAACATTTGATGTAGATGGTACTTTCATAAACTCAGTATAAGGACAGGATTCTGAAAAAAAAGGATCAGCATCCTCTTCGGGAAAATTATTGTCAAAATTTATTTGACTCTTTGATTTCTGAAAATTTTCCCTTTTCAAATTATTTTTAGTTGAAACTTCTTTTCTAATATGCTTTGAGGAGTCAACAGCTGAACTATTTTTAAGAGCACTAGATAAGTTAACAGTTGAACTACTTTTGAGAGCTTTGACATCGGTTTGAATGCTTGAGGCATGCAGATTGACTGAAACATTAGATTGCTGAGTAAAAGAATTATTTTCACACAATGTTGCCATGACAAAATGACCTTCATACACTTCATCATTATCCAATGCAAAGATTATGGGTTTTCCAGGATGTTCGAAATGAAGTGCTAAAGGTTGGTTGACAAATTCTGTAAAAGCAAGAATGGCACGCAATTCTTTTAAACAAAATGTTACTTCTGTATCAATACCAATTTGAAAATTATCAAATTCTTCTGGTGCAAGGGTCATTTCAGTGTTAACTACCTTGCTAAAATCTGGTTCGGTTGGTTCAACATAGTTTTTGATTTTGACAAACTGGGGACATACAGTTAAAACAATCTCTTCACAATTATTTGGAAAATTCAAAACAGTATCTTGAAGGACTTTGCTCTGAGCAACAATCATGTTTGGACATAACTCTTTTGAAAATATTGCTTGCAGGCTTTCACTCTCTTGATAGGTTAAATTATAAGTTTTAGTAATGCCATACTTACAAAACAAAGTGAAAATCAAACGACATTCATCTGGTCGAAACTCAATTTTGCACTGATCAACATTTTTTTCAATGCTTTGTAAAGATTTAAAAATATTGAGACAGGATTTCATTGAAAGTTTGCACTTAAGCATTTCAGCAGGATTTGAGTTGTCAATAAACTCACAGCCTTGGTCGTATTCATAAAAAAAAACTCTTGTAAAATTAAAGCATGCATATGCAGACCTGGATGAATTTACAGAGCGTAAAGCAAGCCCATCACTTAAAGCTTCAAGAAATAATTCATCTCCAATTTTTGACAAGCAATGGATAGAACGACCAAACAATTTTAAATAACTGTTAGATATAATACACTTCATTTTCCTTTTATATTTCTAATAAAAAACAATTTTAAATGTTGGAATAGCAAATACTTTTATGTGAATATATAGATACATGACAAGATAAAGTTTTCTGGATAGATTATCTTCAAAATATCTCAAAACAAAATGTAGGAGTAGATACAAAGTTCTATTTGCTGTGAAAACTAAAGAAACAAAAAACAAACAATTCACTTTTTCTTGATTAATTAATTGTTAGCACATATTAAATTTAGATTTTTACTCAAATTACTAATATCATACAAACATCCCTATTGGCATAAGATGGAGTGTGTTGGAATGGAGAGGAATAAGTATAAACAAAATTTAATCTTTAATAGAATTATCAATGTTAAATTTTTTACTTAAGTTTTTAGTTTAAACTGATAAATACTTAAGTTTTCTAAGAATATAAACTTAAATTCTCCGACAACCTTTCCCTACTACAAGCTCTAAATTACGTAATTTACACCTTTTGAAAATAGGTATTATTATAAAAATCCAGAAAATATTATGAGCTATATATCAAATTAGAGATAATTTTAATTTGTGCAGAGTTAGCACTAAAAATTATTTAAAAGCTTTCACCCCACAGCTCTGTGTGATTGTGTGTGTGTGAGAGAGAGAGTGGTTTGAAAAAGAGAGGTGTTTTTGATGTTGTAGAAAAGTTTTAAAAGTATGTCATTAAAACTGAAGTGGAGTTGTTGTGTGAAGGTGTGTAAAGCTAGAAATTTAATTAGTTATAATGTAAAATATACAAACAAAAAAAATTAACACTTTATTTAAAATTGATTTATAACAACTAAAAACTTTATAAAATTTTCAATATAAATAATTATATATAACAAAAACATATATAAAATTTATGATTTATGTAAACAATTTAATTTTTTTCTAAATATATAAACAAAATTAAATATAAATTGACCATATATTTATATTATAAGTAATATATTATTATTACCAAATTATAACTAATATAGATTATTTTAAAATCTTTACATCTTTTTTAAGTTTATCTAAACCTTTTAATAACAAATCTCGCTTTGTATAAAGATCATCTCGAATCATCAAATGATTTACAAGAATAGTGCTTTTATTAGATACCTCATGCTCCAATTGATCAATAACCCAATGCAGATCCAGTAATGACAAATTTTCACAATGAAAAAATTCAGAATTCGTAAAATCAGGATTCCAACAATTAGAATATTTTTTTTCTTTTAAAGAATGAAGAATAGTGTTTAACAACTCACTTTTGTTTCTTTTACATTTGTCATTGTCATCCAAACTTGACTGTACCATAAAAAAATCAGGACTATATTCATCCTTTGAACAATTTTTAAGTTTATCATTTTTATCAAAATTATTTTCTAGAACATCTGAGATCTCAGAAAAAGAGTTTCTTGTAGCCTTTTCATCTAATGTATATTTTGTTAAAGAAATATTTTCATCATAAACAATACTGTCATCTATCATTGTTGTCATTTTGGAGGAAAAAACTATTTCATTATGGCAGATTTTTTGCTTTTCACAACAAAAACATATTTTTCTTGTTTTACTATAGTATTCATATAAACTTGGATAATACTCATCATTGCAGAAACAACAAATATGTTCTTTTTTAGCTAAACCTTTTTTTTTCCGCCATACTCTTTGTATAACAGAAGCATTTGCATTCAAGAATCTTAATTTGTTTCTTTCTATTACATCATTATCTTCTAATTCTCTTTCTATACGATAACTATCAATTAAAGCTTCACTTTCAATTGCAAGTTGCTCTTGATACTGTTTTGATAAAACTTCACTTTTTTGGACAGATTCATAAAGTATATCAAAGTATTTTTTTCGACCAACATAACCACGATAGACTTTTTGAATTTTTATTGCTGCTAAATCCTTACTGGATATTTGTTTATAATTTTTAAAATCTAATTCGCTACGTATTTCATTCAAAAATAAATTATTACGTTGTACACGTTCTTTAGTTAATTCAGAAAAATTTGGTATGTCAAACGCTAAAGAAGAACGAGGTAATAAATATTCAGATAGTAGTTCATCTGTAGAAAGATCTTTACTTATAAATCTACTAACCATGTCATAAACTAATACAACCATAAAGCAAAATTTTATTTAAAAATTATATCATTTTGATTAGTTGACATAAAATTGGAAAATAGATCAGTTAATTTTACAATAGTACTATATACAATAGTAAAACTAACTTATTAAAAAGAAATATTTCAGAATAACTCAATCGCTAAAGTGACCTATTCAACTAGTTATTGCAATGTGAACAAATGCGGATGGCACTTTCCTAAGCAACAATTTTGTTTATTTGTTATTTCTTTTTTCTAAGTCACTAATTCATTGGACTGAAGAAACCATGTAAAGACTCACAGATGCACACTCTCCAAATGCGATTATTTTAAAATCGCTTATAGAAGTAGTTATGAAGTTGTACCGCTTGTAAATAAGCAGTGCGTGGAGTGTGTTTATTTTTGGAAGAAAAAAATAGTTCTTCATTTAACTCTTATGATGGATAAAATGTAAATGTTGTTAAATTTGGTGAAACACATTTGAAATGAGATTACCCGAGTATTCAGGTACCAATAAATAATTTAAAACCTTTTCTTTCTTCTCTGTTCTTATTCAATGGCTTTAATAATTTATTTTTTAACCGACTTTGAATTATTTTTCTGTAATTTCTTTATTTCTACTACTATTTAAGCACCAAATTTATATAATATTTCACTAAAAATATAGTTGTTAAAAGTTTAGTTTTATTTATATAATTTTATATCTAACTATTTTGACAGCTTTGCTGAAACTTGATTTTTCAACACTTTACTAAACTTGAAACAGTTATTGCATATGCACCTCAGTTTAAAATTCATTCATTTATAGTTTTAAGTTTGTCAGTCCGAACAGAAAACCAATATACCAAAATAAAATCAAAATGATATCTTTTTTTTTAACTTTTTGATAGATTGTTTATTCCATTTTTTTAATGAAAAATGAATATGTTATGATAAAAAAAAAAAAGTTAAATCTCTAGTAAATTTTTAATTTAAACTAATCGTTTTAGATAATTACACAGCCTTTAATATATAATCCATTCACACACACATTAGCAGCAGCACTATCAATTATATTTACTTTCAAACTTCTGATGTTGTTGTATTCTTTTACCTTCATTGTACCTTAATTGTCTTGGTGCTCCTTATATCTCTTGTTTCTTTTTTAATTTCAATGTGTCAAATATTTTGAAAAAAAGTTTTTTTTTCTTTTTCTGTTAAATTAAAGTATAGCTAATTCTATAAAGTTTTATGAATAGTAAAAATCTTATTTATATATGATTAACATAGTTTTATAGAGCTTAATAAAGACTTAAAAAATTAGGGTCTTTCAATATATATAATGATATAATTTTCAATTTATATAATATATATAATATGTATAAACACATGGACTCTTTCAAAATACTGTTTTTTCTATATAAATTAACCTTGTAGTTTTTAAACGCTGAGAACTAAAAAATTATGCATGAATGTTAAAAAGAGTCCAGATTCCATAAGATTCCTTGTTCCTTTTTAATATATATATAGAAATTTTCATACAAATTAGATAAATTTTGGTGCTTAGGAAATCTTACTTTCAAAAACTACTTTTAAAAAAATCGTCTAAAATATCCTGCAGCGAGTTTTTTTATCAATAGTCTAAAATGTCCCTGCAAGTCAATAGTCTAAATGTCTCACAATCGTCTAAAATACCCAGCAGCAAGTTTTTTTATCAATAGTGGTCTTAAGACATTAATAATACATAAAAGAAGCCATATTAAACATAGTACTTCCTTTATATGGTTGGAAAGAAGTTTCAAATTAATTGATGCAAAAAATCTCAAGGTTCTTGATGCAAAAAATCTCAAGGTTCTATAAAAAGATATAAGAGGGTAAAGTTCATGAAAATCACATGTTTTTTGTCAAAAATCAAATTTTTTTGTTGCTTTCTAGGAATCACTATCAAATAGCACCTTTTATTAAAAAATCAAATTTATCAAAATATTTTACTTGCAGTTTCTACCAAAGCTTCTCCTTCTAAGGATAATCACTGTTTTCTATTTTTATATTTCCATTATCATTTATATAATATCAGCAAGTAAGTTATTGTTTTCTGGTGCTTTAAACTTTCTTCTTAAATTTTTAAAAAACTCTGGAGAACATTTTGACCCATCCAACTGTTATTCAATCAGTCTATTATTATTTTTTTTTAGCAAGGCCTTTAAGTCTTTGATCAACAAATTTCTAATACCCCATTTTGATTCAAATAATATACAGTCAGACCATTAATATGGCTTTCATTCCTCTCGTTTAATGGTTGACTTTCTAAATGATATGGATAAAAGATTTTATTATACATTAAAAGGAGGCAGTGAAGCTAGAGCTATTGCTTTTGACATATTTATAGTTTTTGACAAAGTTCGGCATTCTGAATTTTCTCAATAAGCTTGCTTCTTATATATTATTTCTTTCTAACCACTTAATAAAGTCATCCTTTAAGATCAATACTCTTCTTCATTTTCAGTAATTTCCTTAAGGTTCTATACTTAATCCTGTTTTGTTTCTTTTCTATATTAATGATCTATATTAATGATCTACCTGGCATTTAAGGTGGCTCTATTTGAAAATGATCTACCTGGCATTTAAGGTGGCTCTATTTGAAAATGACTCTTTATATTCCTGCCTTGACAAAAAGTCTTCTCTTTTTGATTGCTTAGTACAGGCAGTTGATCTTGAATCTAATATCACTTCTGTAACAGATTGTTACTTTTAGTAACTTGTGTATTTTAACTTTAAAAAAACAGCAAACAGCCATCACAATACTGCTGAATTTCTTATATTGATATAAATCAATATAGAAATTTTATTAATTTACATCAATATAGAAATTAGTACTGTAGAATTTGGCCAAAAAATAGTAAAACCTAGAAAAATTTTTTATCGAGGCATATTATATATCATTAGAAAGATAATTTTATCTGCTTTCTAATGGTGTACCTTGTCACTTTTTTGGAATTGAGCAAAAAAAATGGTGGATCAAAATGCAAATGTAGGTTTTTTCATTTTATTTAAAAAATTAACTAAATATAAAACAGTGTTCTTCGATATCATAGCTTCATTATTAAAAAAAGTTCAATTGCCATCATGTTATTGAATGACTGAACAAAAGGAATTAAATATTTCTAAAAGCTTAAGTATTCATTTTATTATAAAAATGAGCTTCTCTTTGAAGTCGTAGCTATTATTTAAAAGTTACTTATATTTTCAATGTGTTTGAAACAGCTGTGAATTAAATATTGAATTAGATATAAAAAAGACATTTTGTATAGTTGACTGTCTTTTTATTTAAAGATAAGATAATAATGGAAGATGAAATTGAAACTGATATATCAAACGGAATAACGTTATGTGTTAAATGCGGAGAAGGTGTAAGAATGCATGATCCTTTAAATCATGTAGGTTCGAAGTATTCTGATTCAAGCAAGAAAAAACATCCCCTGACTGCAATTATAGAGCATGCTATGAAGCTTAATTTAGATACTTTAGTTGATAAGCTCAAACTGAACAAAAGAACAAAAGCAAACACTTATATCCATTTATCATGTAGAAATTTTTTAAAAAGTTACTCTCGAAAAAGATCAATGAAAATCAAGACAGAGCGTATTACTAGAGCCAAAATGGAACTAATTGATTTCAAAAAAAAGTGTTTTTATTGTGGCGGTGATTGTATCTATGACAGAAAAAATCCAAATCGCAACAAATTTGAAGAAGTACGTACAAAAAAAGCAGCCATATATTCTTCCAACATCGAAATATGTCGCAATAGAGAAGATCAACTTGCTAAAACTATAGAAGCAAGTTTAATCAGTGTGAATGATCTAGTAGCAGCAGAAGGCAGATACCACGTATCATGTAGAGCCAGCTTCGAGAACCCTTTACCAAAATATTTAACATCTGGACGTCCTACTTGCAGTAACAAAATGACATCATTTAATACTATATGTGAATCATTAGAAAGGGACATAGAGTTGTACACGTTGTCAGAATTTCGTTCGAAAATGATGTCAATCAGTGATGACAATTATTCAATAAAAATGACCAAAATGAAATTAAAAGAAGTGTACAGTGAGTCTTTACGCTTTGTCAAAAGAGAAGGCAGAAGCAATATAATTCTATTGGACAGTGTTAGAGACATTTTATGTGAAAAATGGTACCAAGAAAAAAGCACAAATGTAAACGAGGAGAGAGAGCGTGTTGTTATAACAGCTGCAAAACTTTTGAAAAAAATGCCATAAAGAATCATGACCACAGTTCAAACATATATCCTTCCAAAGAGGACATCCTAAACATTGAAGGAACCCATATACCTCAATTATTAAAAGCATTTCTTAATGAACTAGTTCAGGCACCTTTAAAACAGGTTTCAATATCACAAGCCTTATTTTCTGGAACACATCCCAGGTCTATTATGCCATTACAGTTTGGACTAAGCGTTGCTGTCGATAACCGTCTTTCATCAAAATGGCTGAATATACTGCTATCAAAATTAGGATTTAGTGTTAGTTATGACAAGGTATGTTTCATTTTATTAAGTATCTTTTATCAGAATCCCCAGAATCCGGACAATACCGATGTTTATGTAATTTTTTTAAGGTTATCCGTTACCAACAGAATGTTGTAAAGCATGATACTATCGACGAAATCATCTCTGGAGAGGGAACCTCATTTCTTCAATTTGTAGCTGACAACACAGACCATGACATTGCTACTGTTGATGGAATAAATACGCACCATGGACTTGGGTCAATTGCAATTGCAAATGGAAAATTCGCAGACGTTTTGTTCAAAAGAAATAAAATACCTAGAGATAAAAAGGAACTATGGTCAAATATCAAGTCAAACGATGGGATAATGATTAGGCAGTACTACTTACCTGACATACTTTCATTAACAAAAACAATATTCAAACCAGTCATTCAGGTTTGTTATGCAAATTTCAATTTAAAAAAGTATTTACTTCTACCAAGTTTGAAAACTAATTGTTTTATTTAATTTTAGGAAAAAATTCAAGCTCGTTTTATTGATCTTCTATGGAACATTTGCTACCTTTTCAAAATTCCATGCCCAAGTTGGTCTGGCTACATGATTTCTGCAACAAATAATATTGTAAAACATAAATCTAACATTGCTATACTACCTGTGATTGATTTACACGCTACTAATTTGACAGCCCTATATTCACTACTTTGCTTCATCATTGATCACTCCAAAAAAGTGAATATTACAATGCCATCCATAACATTTTATCAGCAGCTTTACATAAAAGCATACGAAATAGTCTCTACAAAAAAACTTAAATATATTTGTTCGTCTTCCTTCATATGATGGAAGGAAGTCTTCCACTTCCTTCCATCATACATCCAATTGAACCTAGAAAACTTATGAGTTTTCTAGGTTCAATTGGATGTATGATGGAAGGAAGTTGTTTGAGAAGCACTCTTGAAACAGTCTATGCCCCTTTAACAGTAGGACACATGCAATCAGGA